TGTGTGTGTGTGTGTGTGTGTGTGTGTGTGTGTGTGTGTGCGTGTTTGTGTATCTGAACGTGCAATCTGAGAGTGAGGGAGTGAGTGGGTGAGCATGTGGGTGCTGACGGTGAGGTCGCCGGATGGGGGAGGTGATGAGAAAACAGGGAGAGAAGGTATTGTCAGGAGGGGAATGAAAGGGTGGGTTAGGGGTGATGGAAAAGTTAAGCATTCTGCAAAACACACCAATCTAAAAAAAACCAAAACAAAACAACAACAAAAAACAAATCTACAGTAAACATTTTATACTGTTTTTCATTGTTCTGCTGAGGCCGGCCTAAAAACTTATTTTTTAAAAGGTTTTAGCACGTAGCAACAGGTGCGTTAGAGAAAAGTAAAAGTGAAAGAATTAAAAGGGATAAAACACTTTAAAAAGTGCATTTCGCCTCTCACGTTTGTTCATGAGACCTGTTTGTCCTCAGAGTATGTTTTGAGGATGACTCTCAGCTACCATCTCAACACACTTTAGCTCAGTATCTGCATTTTTGACTGAGTCATTTAGTCATTTTGTGTTTGCCAAGGTTGATTAGTTCGAATGGGGTTGACTCCAAACGATTGACTACTTTCTGAAAGTTTCATTAAAAATCCATCCAATGATTCATGAGCTAGTTTGCTAACAGACAAACAGGCTTGACCCCAAGAGTTAATGCTAAAGTTTWAAGCAGAGAACTTGTATGTGTTGGGWATGACTCTCAGTTACTAGCATACCAGATGTTAGCTTAATATCTGTATCAGCTAAGGCATAGCCATGTGTTTTCATCAACATAAAGGATTTATTTCTGGTTGAATGCTAAATATGTTTCTCAAAGTTGTTTTGCTGTTTCAAACTAAAATCTGTCAACTGAAACTGGATTAAAAAACCGGATTAAAAAAATGCACTTCTGCTGTTTARTGAACTAGAAAGGCATCTGTAAACAGCAATGCCATAATAAAGGCTTCTTGTCTTCAACCTGCAGGTCAAGTGCAGACCTTGGAGGCCTGATGGGATTCATGTCAGAGGCCCTCCTACCCCACCCAGCCCCTCTCATCTCCACACAATTGGTGGGCCTCCTCATGTACCCAGCTCTCTGTCTCTCCTGAGTTCTTTAATCAATATCATCGGGAAAACAGAAAGAGCTGAGAGCTAAACCCCTCTTCCATTTCTTCTTTCTGATGGGGCCTTTTCTCACTCTTTCACTTCACACTTCAGCGTAGGGCTACTGAGGTCGCTCTGAATGGGACCCACTCCACCCTGAGGGAATATTGTCTGACCACAGACTAGAATCTGAGAGAGAGAGAGGGAGCTAAAGAGAGAGAGAGTGTGTGTGTGTGTGTGTGTGAGAGAGAGAGAGAGAGAGAGAGAGACCCCTTCTCCCATCCTCTTTCTGTCTCTTCAAAGAAAACTAAAAATGTGGCACATGCATGAGCACTATTAATAAATGTATCGTTTCAGCTGACTTTTTTATTTTATTTTAGTGAGCCTGCTCCTGAACCTTTTTTTTTTTTTTGCAAACCCACCAGTCTTTCACTGTAACACTCACTACTCTTGGCCTACTTTTCAATCCCTTAAAAAGTTCTGAAAGTCAGCAATCTGGCAGAGCACGATATGGCAGCTGCTTTTAAAACCTGGCTGATGATTAACCTCAGACAGATTACCACTGCAGACATGTGCGGGTTTACAGATGATTTGTTTTGACAACTCTTATGTTGTTTTTGGACAGAACCTGTGAATCACATCTGTTTTTTTCTGGACAGGCATCTCTCAGACCTGGAATGACTGAACATGTTTGGGTATCACAAAGTCAGAAAGCAGCCATYGAAGAAACGTTTACAACTGATGAACATTTGGAGTCAACTTCTTTCAAGATGGACGCCACAGCTAAGCATGTTAGCAAACACAAACATGGCTATAACTTAGCTAATTCTACAGATGTTGAGCTAAAATTTTGTGTGTTAGTAGCTGTGAGTCATTTCCAACAAATACTCTGAGTGCTTACCGATTACACAAGAACTGTTTTTAACACTTTCCCATTAACTTTTRGAGTCAAATGTGCCTGTCTGTTAGCAAAATTTCTAAAGAACCACTGGATGGATTTTAATGAAACTCTCAGAGAGTAATCGTTGAGTATGCATCCACACGTCTTTAACTTTTGGAGTCACTCCAACACATGGTGGTCACCACAGCTMATAGTCATTAGTCAACCCTGAAATGACTATAACTCAGTCAATTTTAAAGATACAGAGCTCAAATTTGATCTGATAGTAGCTGAGAGTCATTCACATCACATACTCTGAACACCAATACACATCACAGGCTCTTACAATATTGCACAAGATTGTACTTTGTCATTCACAAGGTTTAACTAAAACCACTTCTCGGCACATTATCTTCTAGTATCTTGCGTTACTTTTTAATATTTGGTCATAAAATAAAGACAGGACAAATTCCATTTACAGAAAGTGAGTAAAAATTTAATTTGGCATAATTGCTRAAAAATAAAACGACAAAACAGGCTTTTTAAAAATGTATTATTGATGAGTGCTTGAAAGCTATGCATAATGTAATATGCTGTCTGTCTGTGTGTCAGACCTTGTATTAAGTATCACGTTTAGGGTGTCAGAGGGGTCTAGGGATGCAGGCTTTCAGGGGTACGGTTAGCTGGTTTGGGAGGACCGAGTTGCAGGCTAAAAGTGAGGGAAGAAGGAGGGAYTGGCTGGTGCGAGAAGACGATGGGAAGAGATTGACAGAGAGGGATGAAATGAAGGAAGGGGATGCGGTGTAAGGGGGCGTGTGTAAGCTGACAACGGGTTAACAGGAATCTTTATTTTTAACAACATGTCATCACTAGCCGCCCATCTGCTCCTGTGCTGTCAGAGTCCCCCGGGAGCGTGTGTGAGTRTGTGTAAATGTGAGAGCTAGAAAGCAGGAGATGCATGCAATCCCATCACAGATCACATCAGTGATCAGCCCCCAAACGAGGAGCACGGGGGAGAGGACAAGGTTAGAGAGGTGGGCGGGCCGCATGAATATCTGCCTCTTTTTAATATCCAAGGTGAACGGATGTGTGTTGGCTCGTTGAGATTAGTCGGTTGATCTACAACTGCCCTTTCTCTGTTTGGATGGGGGGATGGAAGGGAGAAGGGTGGACTGGAGGTAATGAGGGGGGGTCTATTAGTACAAAGGATGGGGGGTGTTTSGGGAGAGAGAGAGAACAGGGATCAGAACAGGGATAGAGCTTCATGGTGGCCTTTATAAATCATCTTTTTTTAAATGTCCAAACTCTGGTTTCTTTTTATTTTCTTGTGGCTCAAACTTGCTTTTTCTTTTCCCATACCAAGTCTAATTACATCCCTCTAGTGGTCCACTCCACTTTACCCCAATTTTGAGAGAAATTTTGATGGAATGAAAACATCTTGTTTGGCAGCAGAGCAGTCTTTAGTCCTCATTAGTCTCACTGACTCCACATCTCGTACTGAGTGCTGAGATCTCGCCTCGTTCAAATATCTCTGCCTCCCCGTCATCCTGCAGGCGTGGTAAATTTAAAGGCTAATTAGTCCGGAGAAACCGGTCACAGCAACAAGTCCACCGCAGGACACACGCATCCTCCCGTGCAGGACCAGAAAGCAGCTTTGCTTCACAGAAATGAGCTACAACAAACTTGCAACAGGAGTTCTCAGAGCGTCGTGCTTTTAGTTAGCACACATCTAAAAAGTCTTGCATTTTGTACATTTCTTGACTTCTGTAGAGGTCAAGTGTTTCAAATATTTTGCATTAGATGCTATTTACAGAACCAGTTGGTTTGAAAATGAAAATGTTCTCCAGCATGAAAGGCCCTCTTTTTTTTATTTTTCCTTTGCAGTTTGTCTTATTTTTTAGGTCCTTCTGCTCTCCCAACCATCCCTCCCCCCATTCATTCTCACCCTATCCCTCATTTCTGATCCATCTTTTATGCATTACTCCATTACGCTCAACTCCCATTTACAGTGCATTACCTCTGCCCATCTTCAGACGCACTTCCTCTCCTTCCTTTTTTGTCACTTTGCTTCTCTTCCACACTTGCTTTCCTCATTTTATAACAACACTTCTCAGCACTTCTCTGCTTAAACTCTTTTTATTATCTGCTTTGTCTTTTTTCTTTTTTCTTTTCCTCCGGTCACGCCACCTCACACTAAGCATTTCTTTTCCCCGTATCTTTCATTTCCATCAAGCTTCCGGTGTCTTTCTCTCTCTGATCTTCACTCTGGCTGTCTGCACTGCTGCCGTCCTCCCTTTCAACCGGTTATTCAAAGCATGCCACATTAATTTGGCTTCGGTATTGTCTTTTACAACACAAGTGTACAAATGTCAGCAAACGCAATTAGCAGTAAATGCAGTTGGCAGCAGGCCTGTGCCGATGTTTAATTGTCTTGTTTCAGCACAGATGTGAGCACACAGACAACAGCGACCGGACCTGCAGATCAGAAGGTGTCACAAAGCGCAAAAGCACCAGCAGTGGAAGACACAAGTGAGCGGCGTGCGCAGAGTTCCCTGCAGTTTCGGTCCGAGTTCAAAAGAGACGCAGGAGTTCGTGTTTTTCTTTGATTGTAGGACACAGCTTGTGGGAGCCCATTTTCACTGCTGTGAAGAAACAAACAAAAGAATAGAAAAGGAATCGTTTTAAAATAGTCGATGGAGGTGACTCATTTGAAACACAGCCATAAAAAAAAACAAAAAACTAAATAAGAACATTAATTAAAGACCGGTGTAAAAGTGAACAAATGTCTTCAATTCTTTTATATACTAAAATCATGATTAAAAAAACTAAAGTGGATCTAAATGCAAAAGGTTGGTGATGAACTAAATAGTTACATTCAGCAAAAAATTATCTCTTTCAATTTATGGGAAATTCTCTTATTTGACTTTTGTTCAAATCCATCTGTTAAGATATAAAAAACCCTGACAGATTTAACTCAAGTTGAATTGTACTAAAAACAATACGTATGTTCATCAGCAGAAAACTGTCTAATTTATAAAAAAAAATGTAAATGTTTATTTAACATTAATTAGTAAATGGTAATGGATATTTGCACCTGATTTGGAAAAATCAATCAAATAAACAAAAAAGTTAGCAAAATAAAAGCCTAGCATTTTTTGAAGGAATGCATATCACCCACCCCCTTTTAGGACAGTTTTAAACTGAGATAATCTGATAATGAAAAGCGTTTTTGGTCAAACCTTGTAAATGAAATTATGTGCAATCTCATGTGAGATTGCGACATGTAGTATAGTGAGTCTGTGTGTTGTTTTTGTCTTGGCTAAGGTCGGTTAGCTGTGGTGGCCATCTTGTATTGAGCTGACTCCAAAAGTTAATCAGTTCAAGATGTACAACCACTGGTTATTTTCTGGAAGTTTCATGAAAACACAACCAGTGGTTTATGAAATATTTTGTTAACAAACATACATGCACTCACACACACACACACACATTGGTAAAAAAAAAAAGAAGAAAAAAATCTCCCATTTGCCTTCAGTGGCTTGCAAAATTTACAACCAGTTTAGTAAAAGAATGTGACTAACACATGAAGTGATAGAACCATGTTTCGGAGCGATCCACTAGACATCCTGCCCACTCTCTCAGGGTCACCTTCTTGTTCATGTTACGGTCACATGACCTGCAAAGCACAGCACAAATACGGTGACCTCAAAACATTCTAAGCAACAACAAAACTGATCAAGAATGTACACACGCCAAAACAGACATTTATACGGTACAAAGGTGTGTCTGTAGCAAAGGGGACTGAGACATTCACTGTCATTGTCTTTCAGTTCACCGTGTGGCGTTATCTCTGAAGGGTACTTCTTCAATTTGTGATAATCCGCGAGCAGCGGGACACACAATGGGTAATAAACATTAACATTGCTGGGAATGGCTTGACATTGACACGGACGGTCCTGCTCTCACAAAACCTGTCATCGCAGGCTGGCAAAGTGGGGTGCTGAGTAAAATATACTGGGAGAACATAGGACGACAGAATGACAAAAGGGGTGAAAATAAGGTTTGGATCAGGCACGGAGAGAAAATGAGCTTATACAGGAGAAGGGAAGACAAAATGCTGGAAGGAAGAATAAGTTAACGGTCATATGAGAACAGTATGGAGGAGGACACTGGCAAAGGGAATGAATGGATGGATGGCGTGCAGAGAGAGCAGCATGGTGGGAGGTGCAGCTTGATCGGAGCGGGGGTGAAAAAGCTTTGCTGTGTGACATATTTAAACCTCGTTCTTTCTGTAATTAGCCGTGGAAAAACATATTGCAGGAGACAGAAGGTTTGCACCACGAACCCCCCGTGTGTCTTGAGGTCATGGTGACACGAACATATGAGCAACACTGGTTTGACCACTCTGTTGCTCCTAAAAGTCATAACTAGAGATGTTTCTATTATAACATGATACATATTGCTGTGCTTTTCTTTTTATGTAGAAAATAATATAAAAATGATCTGATGAAAGTGGAACTGACTGGAAAAATGGCGTAGCACAGTGCTCCAGAGGCATCTTCTTGTAATACAGCTTTCTCAGGTCTCTGCGGCTCAACACGCCATCTTTGTTCTTGTCCAATAACAGAAATCTTTGCTGAAGAAAGAGACAAAAACAGAAAATTAACAGTGAGAATGAAGCTGTTTATTTATTTTATATGATAATGAAAGAAATCAGTGGATGTTTCCTAAGAAATGTGGTAGCGCCAGTTGCTCTTTGTTTTTGATCAAATTAAATAATGTTAAAAAGCAGCAAAGTGAAATCAACATGGCTGACACTTGTTGTGTCGTAGCAGCACGATTGGCTTTTGAATTAATATTATTAAAAGCTAAAATATATATATAAAAAATCAGTGTTCATGTTTTCACAATGTTTTAATTTAATCCCTTTGAGGCTGGAGATCTGAGTGGTTAGAGAGAGGTTAAGTTATCCCTTTTTCATCATCTTACTGAATAATTCAGTGATTATTGACCAAATCCATTTTATGTTTTTGACTGACTATCTCTGTGGGCAACCGCACCAGAAGCAGCTCAAAATCTCACTCCTCGCAGAAGGTTGGGAGCGTTGATCAGCCACAACCCACGAAGAGTAGATTATATCATAGCATGATGGAAGTGTCTGGTGTGGAAAAATAAAACTTTCTAAAATTCTATGTTGGTTGTAGAGTTACCCTAGGGTGGAAGATGATCCCCGTGTTTATTCTTGTTCAGGCTATCAGCATTACATTTTGTTGTAGATATTGATTTGCTTTATGTCATCATTAGCTGAGGTCATCATATCACAGTAAATCATGATTATTACTTTACTAAGATCTCATGTTCTGCTTCAGACAACTTCAAACCCCGTCAAGTCTGACCTTCGCCAGCTGGATCCTTTGGGTGTGGCTGAGGCAGCTTTGGGGCACGGCTGCAGGTGTGTAGGATGCTCCCATTCGACTCAGGAGCAAAAACCAGTCCAGGAGACGGTAGGGAAACTGGCCTAACTCCTCCTCGGTGCATTTACTCTTGGGAACTGATGAAGAGGAACAACAGAGCTGATTTGGGTGACTGCAGACATGCTCAGAGGAAATTCTGCGTCACGTTGGATGCATTTGTGTTTATTTACCCAGACAGTGTCCTGAGTGAGCCAGGCCGATGCGACGTCTCTTTCTGCAGGCTTCTTTGTGAAGCAAACATTCATTCTCATAGGTTTTTCCCAGAACGCTACACACTGGTGCCCTCTGCCTGATGGTAAATGCCRGTGCCCACATGCAAAACGTCAAAAAAGTAGGACACTTTGCACTACTCTAGTTCATGTTTATATACTCAAACACTCATTTTTAAGTGCTATTTACTGTCCTAAAATCCCTGAATATACTGTATA